CAATGTAGGCTGAGATTGCCCAAAAGAATGAATTATTCAATGGCAAAGAGGTTGAAAATTCAACGATTCGAAGTGAAAATGCAGCGTTGAAACAACGGCGTGATGACAAAGCCGCTCGTGCTCGATCTATCCAAGGTTCTCTCTTTCGGTCTCTCCCCGAAAACTTGCCACCTTGGAAGTATGAATTCTCTCCGTTAATAATATTTATGTGCACGTAATTGATGTCAGAGGAGGCTGAGAAGCTTACGGCTGAGATTGAGAAATTGAAGACGATGATTGAGGCAAAGCGACGAGAAACAGAAAATGACCCGGACTACTTGAAGTTTAAGGAAGACAACAAAATCAGATATCGTGACGCATTGGGATTATTCTTTCCCGATTCAAACATGCCTCCACAGTGACTTGTTTGTTGGAAGCTTTGTCTCGACACTAAACAAGAGTTTGTGTCTTTTTTACTGTTGTGATCGGTCGGATTTTTTGTCTGTGTTCATGGAAGTTTCAGTAGTTGACTTGGGTTGTTAAAGAGCATGATCTTCCAAATTGGGCAAATCATATTCAAGAACATGGTAAGAAGCTTATCCATAGACAAAAACTAATAAGAAGTTCTATTAAGACAAAAATAAGTGCATATTCTCATTTTAACAATAATTAATTTCATATTAATGCATATTTTTAAATAAATTTTTTGGCAAGTCCTTAAAAGCAATTCTCTCTACAAAATTCAATTCCTTATATGTATCTATCTGATGTCGTTTTAGGGTTTCAATAGCGATATTTGATTGCGATCTATTGTGTTATGATTTTGTTTCAATAAGATCTAGAGCCATGTATAGCTTGCCATGTTGCTTAATTAAACTCACTTATCAGGAATAAGCAACTAAGTGAAAGTCTATAAATGAGGAAAAAAACCAAGGATGAAGAGAGCAGTGGAATAAGGTGACATCTTAACCTAATAACTTAATATTTAAGTTTATGAATTCTTTTACTTTATTATTAAATTAACATCATTTTTGAAAAATTATATTTTTGTTTAAAAAATGTTTGTAAGGTGTATTTAATGAATTTTATTGATATAATATATATTTTTTAAAATATCTTATAAATTGGAGAAGGGAAGAGTATTATTTAACAAGTATAAATTTAATCAATATGAGATTTCTGACATATCTTAAGTAACTTAATAATATTAATGCGTGGTAGTTAGGAGATTATTCTCACAAGAGTCTGAAGTTGTTTGTGTTTCAATAATTTAAAAAAAATTAGTATGAATGTGGCAGTGGATTAGCATCCAGCTGGAACTTGAAATTATGAATATTGTTGTCTAAAGACTGCAAAATTAGTTTGCAATAAGTAAGAAGTATATGGTGGGAAAATAGCATATTTGAAATTTGAAAAATAAGTTACTTTAGATGAAATAGCTATGTACACAACAGTTATTTGTATTATTCAACAACTTCAAAAATTATTATTGACATTTTGTAAAGTACGTAACAGGAGAAACTCTATCTTTTCAATATTATAAGGCATTTTTAATAAAATTATAACTCTGTTTTTAAATACAAGAAAAACTATTATGTATCTCTTTATTTTTAATTATAAGAAAATCACACATTTCAGAAAACATTCATCAATTTTTTTTAAATCATCCCTCATAAAGTTAATATTTATTTTACTGAACAAATTTATTTTATTCATTACGGGTATAATTTAATCCAAATTTTTTAATTTCAAACATAATTATTATAGTTAATTAATTTTCTTAATCTATAATACATGTAGGAAAGCATGTTGGGGGGAAAACTAATCTTTTTGGAAGTTTAAATTATGAGTTACTTTTTTTTTTGCCAACTAAATTATGAGTTACTTAAAAGAAACAAACATATAATAGATACATCTTCCCAGGCTCAGTTACTTATAGAAATAATATTACACGATAAGCTGTAGTGTAAAGCATATGAATATAAATACTCCTTCCAGATCAAATATATAAATTAGTAATTAATTTACGTTTTTCAAAAAAAGTTAGTTGAAAGCTTATTTTTTTAAAAAAAATTACATCTTTTCAATTATACCTTTATTAAATATCTTATATAGGTGCCTTGATAATGATAATTAAAATTTTAATACATCATTTTTCAAAAAAAGTAATAAATGAAGTAGAAATATGTTTGAAAAAGTAATAAAAAAGTTACTTAATGTTCTATATTTTGGACTAAACAAGGTTTCTAAAAGATGCCTTATATTGTAATTCGGAGGGAGACATGTTTTTCTTAAAATTTTAAAAATGAATAAAATATAATTTTTGGTTCTAAACCTTTTTTTTTTTTCAACTATCAATTTAACTCATGAACTTATAACCTGCAACAATGAATTCTTGTAGTCTTTTATTATTTGAAAAAGGTAAATTATTATAATTTCTTCATTTCAAGTAACTCCATTTTATAATTTATTAAATCAATAAATTATAAAAATTGACTTCCTTTTAAACCAAAGTTTAAGGATTGAATTGATAATTGAAAAAAATTCTAGGAATTAAAAATTATTCTCTCTGATTATATTTATAGATTACTTTCAACATGTTTTAACAGAATAAATCTCATTGACTCTAAAATTCAATAATTTTATAATTTTACCCCTCTTAAACATACCTACTTGTAAAATAAAATAATCTAACATTAATATTTTTCAGCATTTAGTATGGGCAAAAGGGTAAAAATGGATATAAGAATCATTGAATTGCCCTATAAATAAGAACAAAGTAAATAGTCTCTCCTTGTGTTGTAAATATGACCAGATGAATGTATTTTTATCAAAAAAATTACATTAATTAAGTTACATCTTTTGCCACACATTAATTAAGCAACATTAATTAAATAACACATGCATGCACCAAAATCCCAAGTGCTTAATGACTACAAATCTCAACCAGTAAAGTGATAGCGGGGAGAAATAGCCCCTTCAAAATTTGAATTTATAAATAATTTTAGGTTAAAGTATATTTTTAGTCCTCTAATTTTATTTAAGGTTTCAATTTGATCCTTTAATTTTGTAAAGTATTTTTTTAATCTTTTAACCTTAATATCGTTAGTTTTAAATAATTATTTTTTGTGTCAATTATTGTTATTTTTAAAATATTAAACTTAATATATCAATATTTGAGAATATTTTGTCAATATTTAAAATTTAATGTAAAAATTTGTTGGGATTAAAACTAACAATGTTAGGATTAAAAAATTAAAAAAATACTTTATAAAATCAAGGGATTAAAATAAAATACTGCGTAAAATTAAAGGACTAAATATACTTTATCCATGATTTTATGGAAAACATATGTATCACAGTCATCAAGAGTATTAAATAACTCAAGAAATTACTGTTGGCTCTGTCTGGCATTTGCAAGGTGATGAAGATGATGGAGACGGAGCTAATATGTTTGTGCAATGTTGACTATGTTCATGCCATGGCTTCATAAAAATAACGACTTCTTTCCATCAGGCCTTTTAAAATAAAGATATTTTAGCTCTTTTTTATTTTCGTTTTCTCTTTCATTATGTTATATAATGTATGCTAGAAAAACTAATAAAGTTCCAAATTAAAAGTTATTTTGTAGAATGAAAGAGCCAGTGATTAAATTCAATCCTAACTTTTTTTTTTTGTTTTATGTGCACAAGCCAACCATTTTTGTTAATGGTTAATAATTGAAACAGTAGTAACACCACTATTTCTCTCTGATTCATTTGTACTTTACTTACAATTGAAGATTTGACACAGCACATGTTAGCCCGAAACGACACGATAAAAGGGGGTGGAAAAACGCATGAACATTTACTCTCGCCCGTTGTTCCAATCCTTTTACAATTTGGTATGTAATTTAGTGTTTTATTTTAAATCGCAATCCTTCAATATTATGGCAAGTAATATTCGAGGCCTTTTCTGATTAAAAATTCTTCAGCATCTGAGGCAAGTGATTCAGTGTTTCGAATCGCTTCAATTTTTTTTTTTTAACTCTTGGCAACAAATATTTAGGTGCTTCCCGCCTCCTCATTTTGTGGAAACCCATTAAATTGTTTTGCCAAGATACATTTCAACATTTGGTAATTAATATATGTTTGAACATTCAATATGCGCTTAATTATCATCAACTACTCAGCAATATTTGTCAGAATTTGGCTGTTTTCAACGGTCTTAATCACATCTTCCAACATTTGGTAAGTAATTGAGTGTCTTGAATCCTAAAATATCTGCCCATGATACTCCATCCAATAAAAGATATAAGGTATTTTTTCATAGGTTAAAATTAGATGCTAAAAAAATAAGATATTTTTAATTTTTTAACATGCAACTAATGAATTTTTCCTCCAAAAATATTCTAAGATTGAAAATATTTTATATTTTTTAATAGGAGGAGTAAGAAATTTTTCAAATATAAAGACAATTCTTATGTTAAAAAAAGATAAGGTTTTTTTTCTAAAGTTAGATGTTAAAAAAATATGGCATTTTTAGTTTTGCTCAATGTGTAATTAATAAGATTTTTTTTAAAAAATTTTTTTAATAAATAAACCACTCAAAATTTCACCCTTATAAGAGACATCTAATTAAATAAGATTAAATATAAAAAAAAAATGGCATTAGTTTAAAGATAATTAACTAACTTTATGGAATAAAATTTAATTAAAAATACTTTATATTTTTTGAACAAGAGTGGATTATTTTCTAATATATATATGTATATGAAAACATACAGTGTGACCATTCCCCAATTATGTATGGTAAGACATGCTGTATCTGATCGCATCCTGCTGAGCCCATGCATTATATAACACGTGTGTGTGGGAGTGTGTGAAGTAACCTATATTGTTAGTTTCTGAGAGGTGACAGGTCCACAATTCTCTGTCAGCTATACGTTTCATGTGTCAACTACTGAACTACGTTAAAGGTTGACTCGATCTTTACCCCTATTTTCCTTTGTGTTAATATTGCAGGACGAGCTATTTGAGAAGATGGCAACCCTGAGAAAGATCAAAGCTGCATCGCCAGAATCCGAGGGATCATCATCCAAGCAATTGCCTTCCACTGAATTAACTCTAGGGATTATGGCTTCCTCCTCATTTCAATCAGCATCGACAGATGGTGAACGTCATGCAAAGAGAATAGCTATCAATCCTCTTCAAGAACACCACCACAACAATATCATTGTCGAGGACCTAACTCTTGACGATCCGTCCGATGAGGAGATGAAACCCACCATCGAAGGTAGCGGCAGCCCAAGCACTCATGATGGCCAAGCAATTCGTTTGGCCTCAAGTGCTCGACCACCCCAACAAGAAGCGGATCGCAAGAGGCTCAATCGGTATATGTTTTGGATGTGTATTTTGTACTGTGAAAATGTTGTTCCAATCATGCTGAACACAATAGATTATATCTTTTGTGTTTGAGGTGTTAGTCAAAGTGTGGAAGATTTTACTAGAACCCCATCTTTTAAGGGTTTGGGTCTTTTTACCTTTATTTGCAGAATGATGTCAAACCGACTTTCTGCGAAGAGGTCCAGAGCAAGGAGAAATGAGTACGTGGCTGAGATGGAGAGACAAGCAAAATATTTAGAGGTGAAAATTGCATCTAAAACTTATCATTCTTTTATCCATGATTTTTTATTTTACTCACCGTGCCCTACCTTGAGTAGAAAGATTGTGACCTAAAGCAAAGAGTATTTTGAGATTTCTTAATGCAGAACAAGATAGCCATTCTTCAACCACAAATTGTGGCTTACGAGCATCAGCGGCACCTATTGCTGATTGAGCACCACCAGGTGAAATACCGAATGGCTTTGCTTGAAAAAGAGAGGCTTCTTAAAGAAGGTGACGCGACCATTATATATCTTCCTATTCCAGGGGCTTTTTGATTTTTGTGTTGTACAAGTACTTCGTGAATGGAGTTTGATTTGTCTGTGTGTGTGTGTTTCAGTTGAAGCGGAAAGGATGAAAGATGAAATACTGAGACTTTTAGAACTTCAAAGGCAACAAGAACAAACTCGATCTGAAGTGATGCGTAGTTGGGGTGCTGACATGAAGCTAATGTGCAGCCCCAACCCAGACACTAGTGTCTCCGAACCTGTAGAACCTGTGGTTGACTCAAGTTCATCAGTTGATGGTTAGACATCATATATACACAAGGGGTTTGTTAATTTGCGTTATAATTAATACCATCATATTATAATGATCATCTCATTAGACTTTGTGTTCTGTAATGTTGAATATCATATATTAATCAAGCAGAAACTGTTATTGATGCAAAAATACAGTGGAAAGCGTAGGAAAGATTAGTTTCACTGTTCTTATCTCTAATCTCTAGCGTGCGTAGAAAGTTCTATTGTATTATTAGCACGAAAAATCATTTCAAATTGAAAGAACGCAACTCACGAAACAATATATTATACTACACAGGACCAAGGTTTTTTAATGCGCCTCTTAATCTCTCTATTATATTGCTTCCTCTAATATATACCTGGCCTATCTTTTTATTCAAACCAAAGCGTATAAATAGATGACTCTTCCTTTGTATCTCATGTAAAAGTTCTCCTCATACTGGTTATTTACTATATTGAGTCTTCTTCAAACATATTATCAAGTTCACTCCGTGTCGCTGTGTTATTTCATATAGTTGTTATCTACGAAATTCACTTGTTCTTTATCTCTATGATGACTCCCATTTTCTTGTTTAAATTTATGGTGTCCTGGATATACAGTAGCACGTTCACATCCAACTTGGTAACCTTTCTCAATAGTCATACTATACACTGATATCTTTTTCTATGTGCGTATGTATATATGAGACATCTCTCTTCTCTTAAGAATTCAAATCCAGTACTTGATGATTCACATTTCACACACACACATCCATATACTGATTGTTAATGTTGTTTGATTACAAGAAGCTAAAATTGGAGAACCATCGGACATGGAGGTTGATTCTGCCAACAGTCACATCTCTTACAAGGGCAAAGGGAAGGCAAGGACTTAATTCTCTGGGTATATCAACCATGGATTTCGCGGGCTGAAAAATCTGAACTCTGCCATCCCTTTATATATATATATATATATATATATATATCATATGGACTAGTTTTATAGAATTTGTTTGCTTTTACTTTTACCTGCGGTCATTGTGTTGTGCTTTTAGTAGGCCTTATGCAGTTGTAACCCACAAGTAAACCCTGGTTATCTTTAATAATTAGGTTGTTATCATCATTCATCAGGTTCAGAACCGGCATCACAGTACTGTGTTTGTTATGATTATATATTATCCGTCTTTTTAATGCTTCTATCCTGAGAGAGTTTGATTTACGCACAATAAACTGTTCTTCTGCCATTTGCACAAATCTTGTTACAATGTTAGTTCATCAGATTGATTAACCCCTGAGTCACTTATGATATACGGAGACACAAATACACATTTAGATACTCAATAACTAGAGACAAGACATTATATATTTGGAGAAATCCATGTTTTCTTTCTTAAAAAGGGTCTTTTAAATTTTAGGTCTAATTCTAAAGTAGGAAAATGTCAATAAAAATTATTGAGGAAATTTATATCAATTAAAAATTAATCGTTATCAAAACTTGAATGGATACTTGTCAAAATATCAATTCAAGTTTTAACACCAACTTATTTTAAATTAATAACTTATTCTAAAGTATTAGTCTCGGTGACCAATTATCTTGTGTTCAATTTTTTTTATTACAATTATTTTAAAATTTTAAATACTTAATCTACCATAACTATTTTAAATTTTAAGGATTTAAAACTGGTGATTGAATTTACTATTTCATATGATATAACAACAATTATTTAATTTAATTAAATAATTATAAGAGACTTATTAAATAATATTTAAAGAGTGCTAGATCACAAGTTTTTGGAGAGAACAATAGATATAGGAATGTTATAAAAAATGACAAAACCAGCTTATACAAGTTGATTAGGATTGTTACAACCAACTAGCAAAAGAGAAATAAGATTTGGTGGAGGTGAGCAGAATCTGTTGAGACTAGGACAGCTATTTAAGGCTTGCTAAGGGAGATGGTCAGCCATCACATTTCCAGTCCTGTCAACATGCCTGGCATTAACATCCCAAAGCCAACTGTTACAAGGCCGGCGATTAATGGTGGAATGTTTTGATTGTGATAATTATTTTAATTTTTTTTAAAAAAATATTTTAATATTTTTTAAATATTGATAAAAAATTATAATTATAATATTCATTAAGTGAGTGAAATTAATTTAAATTCAAATTTCAATCATTATTTTAATTTATATACTTAGTTTTTATAAATTTAAAATGTTTATTTGCAATTAAATCAATATATATCTCTTATAAATTATTTATTCTATAAATTCTTTTGTTATTAATGTTAATAATACTTAAAAATTCACAGGGTAAAAGTATATTGGGCATAGAAAGTTAAGTGCATAAGTTTTGACCATACGAACATGTCTAAATTTATGCGTATAATCGCACAAATATGACAACTTATTTTTATTCTGTATGGTTGCGTATATATGTTTACCCAGATTCCCCCTCATTTGCACACCGTGCCTGTGATATGGATAGTCCTGGGGTTGCGCGTAGTCGTAGGAGCTAATTAGTTTGGGTTTCGTTTTTTCATTAAAATAAAAAAAATCATGATTTTAAGTGTAAAATTTTAAATTTTAAATTTCAAATTAAAATTCAAATCTATCTATTCAAATGCCAACTAATTTATGACTTGGATTATATTTTGAGTTTTAACTCGATCCAATTTTGTTAAGTTTGAGTAATTTCTACTATTTGACACTCCCCTTTCGTCTCAACTCTATTCACTGTAAATGTCTTAATGCTTTTCATGACCCCAATTCCTTGTTTACGTTTCCAATTGAGTGCTGCCAATCAAAGTAAATGTTCATTGTTAATAAATGCATATGCATGCACTATATTTTACACTTGATGGATGCATATATGGTTTTGACCTTTCTCAATTAATTTCCATACAAATGTTAAATTTAGCACCAGACTTCTTTGAATATTGAAGTCGCATAATTCAGTATCCAACAATTAAATACATAACGGAAAATGCACATTCATTCTTTGAAAGAGTTTGGTCATTTTTTCGGCAAAAAAAAGAGCTTGGTCTTTAAACATACTGTTTGAAACACAAATAGTTGTTGGCTTGTGTTGTTGTAATAGAGCTGTGCAAAAGTCTTGTAATCTGATCCAACCCGGTCCGATCCGTGCAAACCTGGTCCAGTCTAGTCCTATAGAACTAACAAGACAAAAAAAAAAGGACTGATTTTTTGAGTAAGATCAAACTAGAGACCAAGCATCTAGACTAAGTGGTCCGGTCTGGTCCTATATAATTATTTTAATATAATTAAAAATAATTTATAAATTATTAATTAATAAGTTTTGCATTTACACATCAAATAAAAAAAAGTCATATTACTGCATCAGATATCCAGCTAACCAGGTTTAATTCAGTCTTCACGCTTCACTCTGTAGAGAGAGAGAATATTCCACTCCTTTGGTTTCTATTATAAAGAGCACCTATCAGTATCACCTTATTGGAACTATGGAGACGTGATTGAGTTATTATTAACCTCGTCTGAAAAAGAGTAAAATTCTAATTTTATTTATATTTTAATAAAAAATTTTAAATTTGCATTATATTTTCTCGTGATAATTAATGAATTTGAATAAAATAATATTGAAAATATATAACTATACCTGACCACCAAGTGTTTTGCATTAGTAACCATCAATTTTTTTCCTGAAAAGTGGCTTATAATAAAAATCAAATGATGTGTGTATTAATATTAAGAGAACTGTAAAATAAAAGAACCGATTCTCTGAATTCCATTTCATCCTTACTCTTTCTCCAACCAACTTTATATGTATATTATCAATATATGAAAATTCTAATATAGAGGGACCAAGCTTAATTTACTAACAATCTTTTATCGTGGAAATGACTTGATTGTGATTAGAAAATTGTACGTGTTATGATTATCTGATACAGACATGCAGTGGTTTCTGTTGTTCTCGGTTTATCATTCCATTTCGATGGAAAACAAGTTTTTATTGATAGTTAATTGCTCCAAATATAAAGGATTAAAAATTGCATTATCTCTAAATTACATACATGCATACATATATCCTGAACAATGTGCCTTTTAATTTCAGCTTGTTTTGAAATAACTGAGAAATAATTATATATAACAATGCTGTTTAGAAAGAAATCTAAAAGCCGGTCAAAATGCGCACAATATCTGAGGCGCTAATTGCTGCCTTTACATCAAATGTTATGCGATGTTAGACAAAAAAATGTCTGATTGCATTGTGAATTAAGCGGCGTCCTGCATGCAAACAAGGTTGCCAGACTCCTCTTTAAATAAGCTCAATGTAAACTCTCAATGTAAAATCGTATGAGTTTATTTCTGTCAATAAACAATATTTATTAGAGGTATTCTATATATCAAAATATAATATGGAGATAAATAATTGTCAAAATTGTTGGTAAAAAGTGATGATTGTTATTCTCACCTTTACTATAATTAAAGGTCTAATTATCATTAATAATTAAAATTTTTTAAATATAATTTTAAACAATATTATTGATATTGATAATTAATTAGAAAAGTATCTTTGGTATATACTAAAATATTCGAATTTAAAAAATTGAAATTACATAAACAATAGCTAACATCTTCGGCCCAATTCAATCCATCCAGGCAAGTTCATGCTTATGGTGCGTGCTGTGTAGTCTCAGTTGGCACACGTATCCTCATGCCAAATGCTCCTTTCTGTCGTTAGCCTCAAGTATTGTGAGTTATGGTGCCATGGTGGGAAAACAAACCGAATCGCAGCCAGTTCTTGGTCTTCCATTGTTCTTTTCTTTCTCTGCATTCTTCCTTCAGCCAAATTCACTTTTTTTTTTTTCATGATAGTTTAATCCTTTGTAATTTTTTCAAACCCTCACACTGAAACAACATTTTAATGAGTGGTGACAATACTCTTAACCAAATATCAAGAGATAGAATTTAACAAAAATGAACCAATGATTATGTAACTTTGAGATTCCATTGAATACAAGGACAGGACTTTTTAGTTGTCATTTGGTGCCATTCTTTGGGGTTCTAGAGGGCCATCTTCTTTATTATTAGCCGTTAATCATGACCTGTTTAGGTTAAAGTAAATATTAAAGAAAGACATGTGAGAAATGAGACCAACATGTTCAAATAGATATTATTGGATATCTCATGGAGGGGGGAATGGGAATTGAGAAGGGAATTGGACGTGCTTAACTACTGCCTACTGCTATAAGTTCTTTTCTAGGAAATAAATAATTTAGAAAAAAAAAGTTATAAAATAAGCATTAAAAGTTAAGAATCAAAAGCATCATACTTACACATGTTATTATGGTCTATATATGAATTTATACAAGTTCAAAGGAGATTATTATTATTATTATTATTATTATTATTATTAGAATTAGAATTAGATACTCAAACCAATTAATTTCAATATAAAATATAAAATCTATCACAAATTGCACTATTTATAAATTGCTTTTAATATTGCTCATTTCACGAATTTCTTATGACCCTTATATCCGACCCTAGTTAGATATAGAAATATATGTAATGAGGCCATTTTTGTCAAATTCACACTAAAATTCCCGTAGAAGAAAAAAAATTAAAAAGCACTCTCTGTTCCGAAATGCTACCTCTGTTAGCTTGAATAGAAGAATTAACAGCACAATTCATGTAACTCCAAACTCAGCGCCTCACATTATCACCCCAGCTTTTTCTTTCCCCTTGTTCATGGATAATTTTGGGCAGAATCCGTGGACATAATTTCGAGTTCTGCCCACCAAAGAGGGGAAGATTTTGGAGTTGCTCCATCAGGTCCCATTCTTGTTATTTCCTTCAACTCAGAGGCGACCTGTCTCATAGTTGGCCTTTTCTCTGGATTTGAATGCAAACATTCTTTTATCACTCCCCACCATTTCTCAACCTCTTCTGCTTGCACAGAGTTCAGAGTTGGATCCACCATTTCTCTCAAGGATTGGCCCATTGTTAGATACTGTGAGGGAAAGCCAATTTCCACGAGATGGGGAATTCTTCCGGTGATCAACTCATACAGTATAATACCAAAGCTATATACATTTTCCTTTCTACGTGCTGATGGTGTTTCCAAGGGCTCTGTGGCTGCGAAACCTTTCTTTGTAGCAGCGGCAATGTCATTCCAGAAAATAAGATCTGATACTTGAGCAGCATTATCTTCAGTGAGGTATATAGATGAAGATTGCAGGTTTTTGACGGCAATGGGTGGTTCCAGCTGATGCATATGCTCTAGACAATAAGCTACTCCCATAGCTATCCTCATTCTCATTCCCCAGTCTAGCTGCTCTGCTTCTCTTACTGCAAGTCAGACGAGCATGATATTGACCTTGATTTGGAAAACAATAAGATATCATAATATTTAAAGTTCTTTGACCTGAAAACGAAAAATTGCTATAGGAAGGATGGAACTGTATTTTTACAGAGGTTATCAGAACTGCCATGGACTCAACTGGATGGCACGAGATATTTGGAATAAACTTGCTGATTATGCCTAACATCAAGAGGTAATAAAGTCTAGTGATGTACTAAATTCTTTCACATTTAGTGGATATAGAAACCAATGAATCTTTAGTTTAAACTAAAACTAAAGTGACTTGGAACGAAATGGCACTCACTCTGTAGATGTTCATAGAGGGTTCCATTTGGAGCATACTCAAAGACCATCATTCTCGTGAATGGCTTCTTCTCTTCACAATACCCAATAAGATTCACAAAGTTCTTGTGGTTTACTTTGGATAAGGTCTCTATCTGGAACCAGTGGAACAAGGTAAAATTAGGGAATTATAAGACAGAAAAGGTGGCATTTACTCCGGGCCTAAGGCCCTCATACCTTTCTTCTAAATTGAGCTTCCATTGTTTTAGGCCAATTTTTAGATGAGGTCACTGCAGTAGTTACTACAGCTATCTCAACTCCACTGGAAAGAGTGCCCTTATAAACAGTCCCCTCTGGAATAGAACCAATAATGTTGCTAAAACCTTCACAAGCTGCTTCAATCTCTGCTCGTCTGAGATTTGGCACACCTGAATCGTACATTGTCAATGCAAATACTTGTAATGGAAGGAAGTGAAGATCCATGAAATTAACTTATTTAATTTGGTTTATGTGTGATATGAGACTGAATGACTGATGACTGAACTTATTGATGAAGTAAATGAAGTAATACTGACAACAGCCTGTAAAAGAGCCCCTTATCAACCAACCTGTGACTCCTATTGGGAGCATTTTAAGTAAAATTTTAAATGTGCTAAACCAGTACTACAGACTGCGCCCTTAAACTTGTGCAAAGAAACCTCTAAGCATAATACTAAAACATAAAACGGTAAGAGAGTGGAAATTACCTGTTACAAAAGCTTTCTGTAGCTGCCCACTTAATCCTGTTGACCAAGGTTTCACAGTTACAACCCTGCTAGTTCGGAAGCAAGCGAAAGCAATGGCTGACACAACAACAAGTAAGGATACACCCCCAGCTGTTGACCAAATGATCAAAGATTTCTGGGGCTTGAAACTTTTTGTGTTCCCTTGGTCCCTAAATGAAGCAGGGGTAGGCGCTGAAATCCAATTGGACAGTGGTGGAGAGGACACAACTGTAGGTGAATTTGCTGGTAGTGATATTCCCATGGCTGGTGTCGCCACTGGTGAAAATGAAGGCGTGAGAAAAATAAAGGATGGAGATTGTGAAGGGGAAACTTCTGGGGACCTTAAAGGCGAGAGTAAATATGGTGATGGAGTTAATGCAGATAGTGGATTTAAGGGTGGTTCTGATGGCGGGAAAGGCTCAGAATCTGGTGGTAATGAAGAGGGGAAAGGTGAGGATGACGGTGAAGCAGACTCTTTGTTATCATCTCTTTGTCTTCTTGCTTTTAATCTATGAAGAAGTTTCCTCTTGTATGGCACATCCCCATTTTGTTGGCCTGTGTGCCTGAGACCATTCCATACAGCAAGCAAATATTAGTCAACACAATCTGATCAAGCTCATAATTAGTTGGTCTTGCTGTTTGTGTTTGTGATATTAATGAAACTGATAATCAATTTATACATTCTTAACTCCCTAATTCAAGTGATTTTTAGCTGGCATCAAAATTAATATGATCGTCAATAAGACATACATATATTACATACCACTTTGGGCCCTATCTAATAGTTAATTTTCACAAATCCAATTTGATAACAAACATGGTATTTTAAATACCATGGTATAGAATGCCCTAATATGTATGAAACCGTATAATGTGAGATCGCATTATTGTAATTTGTACTAGAATGCTGAAGGGGTATAATGGACACTAGATGAATAATACACTTGGCAAACTAATCCTAACTGAACTATTAAGCTAACTGACTTGAGAAAAACTATCCGTTTTCTTTGTTACGCTCTGTCAGAGAACCTGAGGTTGAGATTGTAATAAATCTAATTATACATCTCTTTGTAACGTAAGCTTGAGTTGATTTTGACAATATGATCATTCGCATACTAGAAACTAGATGCAAACGTGGCTTTGGTGGTGGAACCAGTTAATTGATCTTTATTATCATGAAATTCAGAATCCTTATTGATCTGATGCACTTCTAGAGCTGGGTTGGTAAGATACCCATTATTGTTCAGTATAATGCTGTATACATCTATATATTGGATGAAATCAAAGGAAAAACCAGAGAATCATAAAAGCAATATATATATATATATATAGGGCAAGAAATTATCAACTTACAGGGTCGTGAGGGAGGGATTGCTGCCAGGGTCAGATGGGAATGATCCTTTGAAATTGTTATATGCCAAGTCAAGAACTTCCAGTTCCTCCAGTTGAGATATCTCTTCAGGAATCTCACCAGAAAAAGAATTGTTGCGCAAAATGCTGCAGGATATAGTGGTTGAAGAATGTTTATACACTGCTTATAATCAGTAACGGCACATACATATTCTCTTACATAGATTTTATGTGAGCCAGCTTCCCAATTTCAGGGGCTAGAGTTCCTTTAAGACAAAGGTCCTTCAAATTCCTGCAAGTTGAACAACTCTTGATTCAGGTGTACCCTAAACATGAAACAATCATTTTTTGTACCGTCTTAACTTGAAAGGCGATGAAAAAGAAGAGAAAAAGGGGAAGCTTGACTCACAAGGAAACGACTTTGCCTTGGACAGAGCATTCCACTCCAAACCATGAACAGGGATCAATGTGGACGTCTTCGCCATTCCAGTTGGATAGAGCTCCAAAAGGGTCTCTCACCACTCTGTTCTTCAACATTAACAGCGCCAGACCTGCATTACAATATTAATTCAAACGCCACTAATCAGATCAAATGATGCTGAGGCCTTCCGTTATATTGGAATTGCAAAGTTTGCGAATACAAGAAGCAAAAGCCATCATCATGCATGCATGCCTTCTCTGTTTTGAGGGGAAGAAGAAGAGCTGCTAAAACTCGAAGGAAGCAAACATAGCATCAACATTAACATCACCAACCCTTCTTCCATGAGTCACCACACAGAGAAGAGAGAGTGAGCGAGTTAGTATGTCAGTGCCACTCATTTGCTCTCTCTATTTATATGCCTCCCTCATCCATTTATACAAAACTAGCCATCTTCATAAATAGATTTGAATGTATAATGTTGCCATATATATAATTTTAACCTTTTAAAGAGCAATATAGTAGTATTATTCGGTATATTTAGACGTACGTAATTTAAGTAACATGAATAAATTCGCAGCATTTCAATATACATATAGATGTGCTCTCATGATGATTTTGCTTAGTCCTTCTTAATTACACAAATTAATATATAAATATATATATATATATATATATAAAAAGAGTAATTCTGTTATAAATGCGTACTCATTGGTGTTGTTTCATCGTGACGTCGTATGAATAGATCACTTACACACAGGCCAAACCCATAATCTTAAATCACAATATGCGAAGATCGTTAGTTATTTCTTGCTTTTCTTTTCCGTTACCCGCCATAGAAGTACAAACTTAACTTTTACGTCAATTCTCTGAACAGACAGGAGATATTTAAAGAGGGCCACAAAATATAAATATTATACAAGTTCCACGGACCTAATGGTTTTGACATTATATGTGCACTCACAAAGTTTGGTATCGAAACTTTAACGTTTATTATTATTATTATTATTATTTTTAGATGTGCACATATATAATAGGAGATATTTGATGCATTATGTTCAAATTGTGAGCCTCTACTGGTTGAGCAGATTTAACTTCATGTACAGGGGAATGTGAAGAATGAGTACTGCAAGAAAAATCTTGAAGACGTTCTCGATGGCACAATGATGGAAGCAATTGGGGACAAAAATTAATAATGGCGTGAAAGACAAGTACAAATAAGAACTAGGTGGGTTGGGTTAAGCAGTTTCATATTCAAAAGAGAGAGATGAGAGATAAGGAGAGCCAATCTTCTCTGAATATGACCCCGTAAAAAAGAGAGGTGTAAATTAAATTAACCATCCCTCCTTCTTTGTTTTTTTAGCATTATTTTATGATCCCATGTAATTAAGCTACAATTACATCATAGTAGCGAAGAAAAGGATGCTGCACTTAAAAAAAGCTACTCTTGTTTTCTTATATGGCAAGTGATGGAAATCATTTTGGTCCTTCAAATATCACATATGTATGAAGTACCGTCAATTGTGTCTTCCTTCAATTTAAATTCATACAATATATATATATATATATATATATATATGACACATTAGGTATTATTAACTTCATCTGTGGATGTATGTGAATGATCTAATTAAAGTGGGCCTGTCATTAATGAATTGATCAGCAAACAATAGACATGGTAACCTCCCTGTTTTAGCAGAAAACTACGTACGACCCATACCAACTTTGTGAGTGTGACAAAGATCCAACACCCACAAACCCACATAATGACCTATGTATTTTTAATTAACCGAATGCAATTTTTTTTAACTTTATTATGAGAAAATTAATAAGAGTTAAAACCTCCTTAATTTGAATAATACTGGATGACACGAGTCATTCAAACGCTGAATATTTCGTCCCGCAAACTGATCCATGATCTAATAATAACGCTCTAGCCAGCAAGTTCATATATTTTGTAGCCTCAGACAGTCTAGCAAATAGCAAGCCACAAGGCACATTTGTATTAATATTTGGCCTGGAGATGTATAAGTGCCAATTGCAGCAATCACAGTAGTCATTAATATCAAGTCAAATTAATCACAATAGCAGTAGGAGCAGCGCGGAGCCACAGTTGTGGTGGCCACACCCAACAACGTTAACGATCAAAGCAAAGCCATGAGGCATGAGTGCCACAATCTGGTTCGTGTGTTGATGAGGAAGATTAAATATTATCTGTGACTCAACCTGCGATCCGATGGAACATCAAACAACCCAATGTGGCCGTTCATTCGTGCGCAACATTATATAATATACAGCGTGAAGCATTCCAAGATCTCCCCGGCACCAATAAAACCAAGCAAAGTTAAATTAATTAATTAATTCCCATGAAGGAACTAACTTTTAATACAATATTCAATGTTTTCAAAAACAATTTCTTGTTTAATATTAACGAACAAAAGCATAATCTTCATATGGAGTTAAACACCAATCTTAATTATTTTTACTGTCATATCCGAAATCAACTCCCATTCTCTTATGTTTTCAACCGCGGACAGTGCTTAGTGAGCAAAAATGTTACACCATACACTACATGTGTGAAGAAAACTTACAATAAAAATATGTACTCTCAGCTCATTGCATCAGAATACACTGCCCAAAATATACAGAACCACGATGTCATTCTACACAAGCAAAAAAAGGCTCATACATGCACGTGTATCGACACAATATAGTACGTAGTATATTGCTATAACTAAAAACCACATCGGGCTAACGGCTCTTAACAAGCATTTTGCCCAATCGTGCAAATAAATCAATGCTATTTGTTGACATCTACAAATAGACAATTATATCCATAAAAGACGTATAAGTACCAATAAAAGCAATGGCAACCCCCATCAGTATTATTGAATAATTGATAATCATATCAGAACCGAATCTCTTGTAAGCTCCAGAAATCTTCAAGTAGCAAACTGATGGCACTAGTATTGAAGAGGAGACGATGCACCTGCAAGTGCCAAAGTTATCCATACAGACGAATGGCAACGGCCACAATGAGGTTACTGATGGGCATGGAGGTGCTCACCAATGAGAAGGAACCATGCTTTTTGCAGACTTTATTGTTGGGGTAAGCATTCAGGCGTATTTGGCTATAGGAATGACCAAGGTGGTGTATATTGCTAGTCTTGGGCTGAGTTTACCTGCGGGAAGGTCTAGAGTTATCTGGGATTGCACGTCTTGTCCAAACTTCAGGTATCCCAATACTGTTGCTGCTGCCGCTGCTGCGTAACCAAGAGTGCATAATGAAAAGCATACAAGCAACATCTGCCGATTCATTAGATCAATGAATCAGTAAAGAGTCCCATTGATGAATATCATGCATTAGTATTGTCGAGTCACGAAAAGAATATTACCTAACTTGCTTTCTGAAAATACATGGTTTTTCGATCGGGCTCATTTGCCCAAATGTTCGGGCTACGCCTACCTAGACAAAATCATCAAGACATGAAATCCATGATAGCATTGTTCACAAGAAATGAACATTACAGATTTTCTCAAGCCGTGCAACTTGTTTAACTTGATATTTTTCCACAAATTTTATTGAATTTCTCGCATTCTTTTCTTAATGTTTCCCGTCATTTTCAACAAATTTTAAATATTAGAAAGATGAGTACAATTTTAAAAAATATTCAAATTATTATTTATCATGTGCAACGCATAGGACAAAGATCAGACATATAGTTTTCAAAATACTTGTTCTCAAAAGTTTTCAAATTGAAACATTTAAAAAAAAATCCACTCTGTATTCTATTATTTTTTCGGAGCAACTAACACACGCACACGCACACGTCACTTTCAATATTTTTATCGACAGCTACAGTAAAGATGCTACTTGCTAGTATACGAGAGGGCTGAGTTCTTGTTCTCGTAGAGTTATCACTTCTCAGTCAAGTCATCAGTAAGTCCGACAATTATACTGATAAAAGTTGGATGAGCTTATTTAATTTGTCCAAATTGTAGACCTTCAGCTAACTTATTTTTCCCAAGGCCAGATTGAGCCTTTATCTATCTCTATAAAATTAAACATTACTAAATTTCTATAAATGAACTTTCTTTTGGCCCGATTCTTTAAATGTACTGATCACTATTAATTCTTTAGACAGAAAACTTTACCTGTCACGAATTTACCAACAACCATAGTCCATAGATACAACGGAATTTAAAGTGGCTATGAGGAGGATGCTTGCACAGGACAAGTGGCTTCTGTTTCTCATAGAAGCATAAAGAGTGGGCAACACTGGATGAACACCGTAACAGAAAGCATACAGACGCAAAGCATTAGGAATTACACTCCATTTGAAAACAGTTCCTTTGCCATGAAATCCAGTTCCATCAACAGTAGCATTCGACCAGAGACACAAGAAGAAGACTGTAGAAGCCAAGACCCCACTTGCAGACACACAAGAGGGCAAGCTCAAATCTTGCAGCCACACACAGTATACAGAGAGTGTGGACCCTTCAATTGTGAACCCTCCTATGTCAATCTGAAGGTTTGCTATGGGATTGTTTATATTGTCACTTTCAAGAATGAGGTAGCCTGCAACAACTAGGTAGGGCTCCGAGTTCATGACCATGGAGATTAGGAGTCTTCCTTTGTGTCCGAATGCACATCGGCCCATGTCAAAGAAGGTTCTAAAGTTAGGGTACATGTACGTGCATCTTTGGACCAGTATACCTGTGGAGGAACAAGCTTAAGGCGATGAGAAATAACAGCGATGGGCTCAACCATCGTCCCCATGACAACATGTAGGGTATGGACACTATACCAACTCCTGAAAAAACAGACAAACATGAAATTTTTGGATTATATCCAGTTCTAGTTACATATCTTCAGCTCAATACATGATGACTATCAAGCACATGAGAATAATCTTTTGTTAAGAGGTTAGTTTTGAAGTGTTGTAGTTGGGTTCTGGAAGATCAACCGGAGCGAGATACTCTGTCCCAAAAGCGCAAACCATTGAGGTTTTGTAGGAAGAAAATTCCATGAAAAAGAAAAGATGGTTATAAAAATGAATGCTAAAACTAAGAAAAATGGAAGACAGGCAAGTTGGACATGTCTAATGTGTAAAGAGCATTTTAAGAAACCTGGGATGGCATCAATGCCATGGAAGCAAAGTCGTGAAGAAGGAGTTTCCTGGAGGAACAGCGTCGTGTGGATCACCTTTAGAGCCATTAAGCAGAGGCTGATACTTTTCATCATAGGGAAAGGGTGTAATGACCGAGCCATCACTTCCTTGAGTTTCCATGGATAGAATACAGCCCAGAAATTAAGCAACAACAAAGTGTGATGTACTATGAGTGAATAGGTTTCTAGTTAGCTCTATATATAATACAAGAAGGGAAATGGCTTCTCCTTATTTCAAATTATTTTGTCACAATAGCTTTAAAGTATATTGACCAAACAATTTATTTCGTTTAAGAAAGAAAAAACTTGCTTGTATTAGTGAGGGATCGTGTGGGAATTGAAGCAATACGAAGCTTAAATTCTTTTTAGGTAAATATAAAGGAGAACAAGTAGGAAGAGGATGACAGATTCTGATGGAGACCAACAAAACCTCTCCCTCTTTTTCTCTACTCTCTTACACCTATAGACTAGAGAGAATCCTCTCCAAGTCATGTTGTTGGTCATTGTATAAGACGAACATTTTCTTTTTCAATTTTCCCCGCTCTGAGTTGTCGAAAAAGAGACATGTTCTTCAAAATTGAATAGAATGGCATCCAATTTTTCAGGCAATAGAAATTAATCAATAAGAGGTTAAATGGTGGTAGAATAACGGGTTAAAATGCCCCCTGTTTCAAAAGTACAAGTGCTTCGAAGCTTAGCAGTGTAGAATCATACTGGCAGATGCTTCACTTTCACAGTTCTATTGCACAGGATTTTCTGCCTTTCAATATGGTTTCTGCAAAACCAAAATGAACAGAAGAGACAACGCGGTCGGGAGTATATCGACAATGGAAATTCGCAATCACAAATAGTAATGTAAATAGAAGGTTAACGAAATCACACTTGCAGAACGTCCTCAAATGTGTCAGTCAATTCCAATGGAAGTGTTTCCTTTTTCGGTTGACTAATTAATAATATCCTATAATCACTTGGAATCAATAACATGGTACATGTATAAATCAAAACCTCAAGAGTGGGTCTAACAAGGAAATGTAGAACCTGAGGGGAAGCGAGGTACAGAATGGGCTTTTAGTTCCCAAATCCTTAAGCTCGGCAATCTTTCCGCCACCGGTGGGAGCAACGAGGCCCGGAAAGGAGAATAAGAACCTGTTCTTTCTCTGAGATTTCCTGAGAATGTCTGAGTCGTGATGCTTAACCACTGTTTTCGAAGGCTCTTCGCGGGCGTCTCAGAGAGTAAGTTGTTAGAAAAGGCCAAACGCCCATGAGGCTCTTCCGGGTTTGGCTCCCCACTTGCTTCCCCCTTCTTGCTGCGCGCACCATTCCGATAACCATCTCCTCACTCAACCCCAAACTGAAGCGGGGACCCCTTGGTTCACCGATTCACTCACAGGCACTGCGTCTCTCCACCAACCACCTACCCCGCAACCTGAACCCGCATGAGTGCAAAAATTAAGAGTTGGCTTCCCTCAAATTTTACATTTTAATAATAATTTTATAAAATATTAAGTTTTCATTATTTAACAATGAATTTAATAGTTGAGATAAAAAATAAAGAAAATGAAGAGAAATTAATTTCAAAAATTTACTCCCACATTTGAGGAAATATAATTTATTTTTAACGAATCAGTAATTATTTATTTTTAAATTAATTTTATTTTTTTATATTTATTTTTACAAACATTTTAAAATAAATTTAAAATAATTTATTTAATAGAGATATTTTTAAAAAATAATAATTACATTATAAAAGATTAAAAATATCTTTATATTTTTAATCTTCAATCTTTAAAAAATACCTTACATTTTTTAACGAAAAAATATTTAAAAATATAATTATTTCTTAAATTTAATAAAAACACATTTTAAATATAATTTAAATATATTTTTAAGGGTTATCCAAATATTTTTTATTTTTATTTTTAATATTATATTTATTACAATAAAATTTTAAAAATTATTAAATATGAACTATTTAAAATGTATCAGTATAATTAATTTATAAAAATTATAAAAAATAGTAATATTAAAATGAACGAGTGAATTTAAATTGTCCAAGTTGATAAGAATATAATTTTTTTAAAAAAATAAATTTTATTTTAATAAATATAAAATAACAACTTAAATTTAAAAATAAAAAACTTTAAGACGATTTGATTAAAAGAGGGCTGTACATAATCAAATATAATCAAAATGAAAATATTGTCAATGCCACCTTACTGTCAGGTTAGCTCAAGCACGTGATGAATCCAAATAACTGTGCATAAAGCGTGGCTGATTCTAGAATTGCTTCTGTTATTCATTTGCGTACGATTCTCTGAATTTCTATCTTCCAAATCCTGATTTTATTTTTTGGCTTGGTACCATATATCATACGGTAAGTGAGGAGTAAGTTAACCTTTCTCTTTTTCTACGACGTGAGATCCCGTTTTCCCATTTCACTCCGTAGTAAATGTGCCTTCATCTATGGCGTGATTTTGGTCCACCCGACCCGAGACTCTAGTGAAACTAATGGTGTGGCTGGAGGAGATTTCAAAGTTTTGGGGCTATCATGGTTTTTCTGGAGTAATGTGAGACAAAATATGAGATTGGACCGGTTATTTTATTTTTAAATAAAAATCAAATAATTAATGTACAACTCTCAAAAAATAGTAAATAATAAAAATTTAAAGACACTAACGTACGAAGCTAATATCCGGCCGCATATAGGTGCCAGTCATCTGAGTTTTTTTTTTTTTGTTTTATCAACGTCATCTGAGTGTGTGTGTGTGTGTGTGTGTGTGTGTGTAAAATTGTTTTGCAACGAAAAAACAAAAAAAGAAAATGACAAGTCGAAAACGTGCTAGACAACCGCCAACCAGAAAAGGCATAAATACTTGGAAGAGATTTCCGTATCAGGAAAAGAGACGAATGAAAAGGCCCCATGCATTCATCACACCATCTCACATGCCCCGAAGCGTCAAAACTCCAACAAATTGGAGTTAAAAGAGAAAATTATAATTAAAATATTATTTCTTAAAAAATATAAAATATTTTTAATTAAATTTTATTTTTTAATAAAATAATTATTTATTTTTATATTAATTTTATTTTTTTATGTTTATTTTTATTAAATATTTTATAATAAATATAAAGTCATTATCAATAAAGATAATTTAAAAAATATAATAATTATATTTTAAAGATTAAAAATATTTTATATTTTTTAACATTCAACCTTTTAAAAAATATCTTATACTTTTTAAATGAAGAGAATAACAATAAAAAAAAACACTTGAATATCTAAAACTTCATCATAAGTTTAGGGAATTAAATTAAAATTAAAATTTTTTAACAAAATGACAAAATTACCCTTATTAAAATTCTTTAGCACAACTTGTCGTGTTTTCACTTTATATAGTTTATGTCCTTCAAACTGTTGTTCATTATAAACACTTGCATTTGTTAAATTTGTATTTTCTTTTGGTTAAATTTCTTTTCTCTTTCAATAGGGACAATCTTATTATTTTTTAAAAAATTTTAATTTCAATTCAATACCCTAAACTTAAAATAAAGTTTAAAAAATTCATGGGTTCTCTTTTTAATTATTTTTAACAGTCTTCAGTGAAATTTTTTTAAATAAAAAATTCAGGTCAAAAAGGCAAAAAAGCATCAAAACTCCAACACATTGGAATAACTTAGCTTGTCCAACACATTAATTACAGGCAGATTGCATACAATCCCCTAATATGATTGTAGGAACATAATACCCCAAGGGAATTAACTACCCACGTTATTCGTAAGACACAATAGGGTACTGTAGGTATTTAATTTCCCATGACTCAAACCATGTCGGCTCTTAAATATGTCGCATGGCTTTGTCCTCTTAAGTACGCATGCACTTTACAATCGTGCAAAATAATCAGTACTGTTCGCTGACATCTACAAATGGCCAATGATATCCGTAAGAGACGAGTAAGTACCAACAATAGCGATTGCAAACCCCATCGCTATTATCGAATAGCTGATAATCATATCAGAACCAAGTCTCCTGTAAGCCCCAGAAATCTTCAAGTAGCAAACTGATGGCACCAGTATTGAAGTGGAGACGCAGAGTAATGCACCTGCAAGTGCCATAAGATATCCATACAGAGGAATGGCAACGGCCACAATGAGGTTACTGATGAGCATGCAGGTACTCACCACCAGATGGGTCAGCCTCTTGTTGTAATGAGAAGGAACCATGCTTTTTGCAGAGTTTATTGTTGGGGTAAGCATTAAAGCGTATTTGGCTATAGGATTGACCAAGGTAGTGTATAATGCTACTCTTGAACTGAGTTTACCTGCGGGAAGGTCTAGAGTTATCTGGGATTGCACGTCTTGCCCAAACATTAGGTATCCCAATACTGCTGCTGCTGCGTAACCAAGAGTGCATAATGAAAAGCATACAAGCAACACCTGCCAATTCATTATTACTTTGATCAATGATGCATTCTTGAGTCACGGAAAGAATTGCCTGACTTGCTTCATTGAAAAGTAGCCATAAAGCTGTTGAATCTTATTTGCCCAAATGTTCGCCCATGCCTACTTTTGCTACTTGAATAAAATCTCAAATTCTCAATCATTATACAGAGCTGAGTTCTTGTTCAAACAAGACCAACGTACAAGGATAAAGTTGGATAAGCTTATTTGTCAGAACGATAGGTCCATATCTATCTGAAAAAAATAAACTTTACTAAGTTTTTCAATAAATGTTCTTTTCTTTTTCGCCTGATTATTTAAATTTACTTGCTATTAGGTCAAGAAAAACTTTACTTGTCATGCATTTACCAAAGACAAAGACACTACGGAATGGTAGTGAGCGTGTTATTAGGAGGATACTCACACTGGAAAAGTGGTTTCTGTTTCTCATGGAAGTATAAAGAGTGGGCAACACTGGATGAGCACTGTAGCAGAAGGCATATAAACCAACAGCATTAGGAATTCCACTCCATCTGATAGCAGTTCCTCTGCCATGAAACCCAGTTCCATCAATAGCAGCATTCCAAGAGAGAGACAAGAGGAAGACCGTAGAAGCCAAGGCCCCACTCGCAGACACATAAGAGAGCAAGCTCAAGTCTTGTAACCACACAGTAGGCAAAATAATCAGTGCAGCAACAATGGCAGAAATTGTGGCCCCTCCAATTGTGAACCCTCCTATGTGAATTTGAAGGTTTGGTATTAGCTTGTTGATATTGTCGCCTTCTAGAATGAGGTAGCCCGCGACAACCAGGTAGAGCTCGGAGTTCATGGCTGTGGAGACCATGAGTCTTCCTTTGTGTCCGAAAGCACGTTGGCCAATGTCAGGGAAGGTCCTGATGCTGGGGTCCATCTCCATGCATCTCTGGACCAGTATGCCGGTGTAGGAACAAGCCAGGGCGATGACAAATAGCAGCGATAAGCTCAACCATCCTCCCAATGCCACTGCATAGGGTATGGACACTATGCCGATCCCTGAAAACACAGCAACGTGGAATTTTTGGATCACAGACTTCCTAGTTAGAAATCTTCAGCTAGCTCAATACATGACTGCCAATCGAGGACATGTAAATTAATCATTTAATCCTGTAAAGAGGTATTAGTTCTGAGAAGTATTATTCTAGTCGGGTTAGGGGGAACAAGGTCGGAGGCACAAGACGTTGAACCGGCAAAAAGCGCAAAAACCCTTATAGTCAAGAAAACTCGGGAAAAAGGAATGTATTAAAAGAGGAATGGAAAACAGATAGGGTTTAGGGATGTGAATGAAGGGCAGATATAGCAAGTAAGGAACCTGAGATTGCGTTAATGCCATGGAAGCACGTGTTGAAGAAGGAGGAGTTGCGAGGAGGAACGACGTCGTGAGGAACAGCTTTAGAGGCATGAGGAAGAGGATGAGGTTTTTCATCGAAGAGGAGGGGGATAATGACCAAGCCTTCCTGCCGTGAGCACCCATGGATAGTATATCGTCGCCTAAGAAATCAACCAACAAGAAGGTGTATTTTACTGTATCGTATTTTGTCTCCGTGAGCGAGACTGGTTTGCTGCTGGCCCTTGTTAGAAATATAATAGCAATAGGGGAAATGGTTCATGGGAACGGTCGGGTTCGGCATGGAATATTCACAGTATATGGGAAATGGTGGGGTTCCGGTCCAATAGTTCGGCATCGCGGGACCCTTTTTTTTATTTTAAATATATTTTTATAAAAGTTACTTAAGGTAAAAAGTATTGACCACATATTTTAGTTTACCAGTTAAAGATCATGTGGGGATTGATTGACGAGAATAAGACAAAAGGGCCCCACATGGTGCCACGACGCGGGAGTACGTTTCTCAGAGTTGGGGACCACTTTCTTGTTTCCCTCATTTACTTAATAAGTTAATATTCCCAAAGACTGACCCATTTTTAGTGGCAGGTAAAAACTTAAGGAAACAACAAGAAAGCGTACCCATTTAAACGGAATGTAATTTCATCAATTTTGTAGGCAAAAATTTAGAATAAGTTGAATAACAGTAATTTTAACAATTAGATTTTAATTATTTTAAAAAAAATAAATTGTAAATATTAATTTAAACAGTTGAAAATTTAAAATTTTAATTATACACAAGGCATTTAAATTTTTAAGATAACTTTCAATTTATAATTGAGTTTCTTATTTATAAATTTTTTGATTGATATTTATAATTTATTTTTTTAACTAACTTATTTTATTAATTCTTTTGGCATTAAATGTGGTCCTTTCTTTAAAATATATCATAGTATTAGACATTTTCCCCCTTCGTTGGACGGTGTGGTAATTGTGGGGATGGGCTAGTGTCTTTGTTTATTATATTTTTAAAAAATTATGATTATGAAATGAAAATAGAAATGAGAATGCGATGGATTGACACTATTTATTTGATATGTTTTCCGTGCAATAAAAACATTAGGATTTTGCCATCTTTTTGGATAGATTTTTTTTTTTTTAATTGAAAAGAATGGCGAAAGGATCGGGTTTCTACTTTCCAGGCTTGAAAGCAAGGCCAGAGGGGTAACTGTGGGCCCGCTTCCTTTTGCTTTCCATGCAGGTAACATTCCACTCGACAAAACACATCATTCGTTGTATTTTGGCAGCTTCGGCATCATGCGCACTTCGGAGTTCTGGTCCTGACGAGTCAAACGAGGTGGCGTCCATGGAGAGAACCTCTCCATTTTTTCTTTTTCTTTTTTTTTATCTCAGTCATTCATATTATTTTATTAAATAATTTTTTTAAAATTATAAAATTAATGAAAGGTTAAACTGGGAGAAGTAGAAGAAAATAAAGAGAAAGAAATGTAAAGATCTTTGATCCGGCATCCGTTCATTTTTTTTATGAAGGATTTTTTCGAGAGAATGTTGTCAAGCATCCTGAAAATAATTTAATTTTTTAATTTTAAATTTTTATTAGATATTGATTTTAAAAAATTATTTAGGGATATTCTTCTTCTTCTACTTTTAACCAAGAAGAGGGATTTAGGAATTTGCTAATTCGAATAGTTTCAACGAGAGAGTTTTAAAGTTTTTTTAAATTTCACTAAAAAAAATTTATATCTAATAATTAGATACTTAAAATGCATATTTTAATTAAATTAAAACATGGGAATCGTTTATCTATCATTTATTTTACAATAAGTTTTTCTTATTAATGTTATTAATAAAATAACATTTATTTGTTTTAATTTGATTTAATAAAAATATATTAAATATATGAAATTGAGTATCTAAATCTGGCACTTTTAATAAAACATGCTGAAACTTGAAAGAAAAGATAATATGTTTGGATGCGATGGTAAATTTAACTACTCTAGGGACTTTTAACTGAGTTACCATGATTTAAGAAATTGATTTCTTAATTTAAAAAAAAAAAACCAGGTGGACCTTAAACCAAGTTGACCAAAATTATAGGAAAAAAAAAACGTATGTTCTCCCCCCAATTTAAATATAGGAGATTGCACCAAAAATTTTATTTTATTTTAATTATATTTCTTTGCTTTAAAAACAAAGCAGACCTCTACCAACTGCATGGATGGTCCTGAATTCGACGTTTATCTGAAAGGTGAGCAATGCGTGTAGATCTTTGAAATTTCAAAATAGATTTCAACTCTCCATTTTTTTAATAAATAAAATGCAGAATGTTATTTGTATAGTTGGATTTTAAAAATTTAAAAATTTTTTTAAAACCAATATCAATATAAGATATAAAGAAAGTCCCTGCTCTTTATAGACTACAAACCATGCAACGTCTCTTCAGCACAATTTATTTTTTAAAAAATTAAATTAAAAAATAGCGTGAATTACATGTTTTAAGTTTTAACCATAATATCTCATAACTGATGAGAGCAATGCAGTTCGTCAAAAGAATCACATAATGTAACGGTTATCAGTTAAAAAATATGTATATTTTACAAAATATTTCTGTTAATTAAAATAAAAATTGTTAAAATGTTAATAATAAAATAAAAATAATTGAGGAATTATATGCGGCCCCAAAAAATGCCGAGGGCAAAAAGGGACCAGTGATGGCAGAATTGGACGGAGCATGTGGATTGTGGAGGTTTGTGAACTGTGAGTGCGGGATTGCATCACCATCGATCGCCGTCGCTCTTTACTTTCTTCCATCACCGGTCTCGTGTCATATGCAACGCGTATAGGCAATTGACGTTTAAGACTCCCCATTACCATATAGATTCATTAACATTTCCATAAGCTAATATAAACAAGTCAGTTATGCAACTCAATATACGATATATTCATTAAAATTCATCACTACTCTCAACTCTCAAGAATCATATTGGTTTCTTCAAGAATATATAATAATGGTTGATTTTCAAATACAACAACTAGTAAGGTCCTTTGATTGGAAAACTCCTAGTGTACACGGGGACCAAAAAAATCCACGAATAACTAATAATAATGATCAGCAAGAAATTCTACTATATATAAAAATTATAATTTAATTCACAATAATCATTTTATTTTTACGAAAATAGAGACCATATACATGTTTCTTAAAAAAACCCCACAAATATTAATTTTCCTAACAAAAAATGTCTTGCAAATTTAGGGCAAGGATTCGCATTCATTACATCCTCCCACACCAAAGCAAATCTATAAATCCAACTAAAATACCTAATACAGCTCACTGGAATAATCCTGCAATTAGGCAAACACGTGACATGCTTAAGCTTATAATTAATAGATTCCTGTACACAGTGGCACAACACCCATAAACGACAAATATTCACATGAATACGAGACATTAATTGCGTCTGCGTCAAGTCGTCAACGCGAGCAACGGAGGTAGCTAGCGAGGTTGTGCTAAATGGTAAATTAAAGAAAACAATTTTTTTTGTTGTGTTTTTTGTAATAATCCTCTTAACATTTTTTAAAGCCTGCCCCTCTAAAATTTTAAATTTCCATCCGCCTCCCTAGCAATTAGGGATAGAAGTTCCACGACGGAGCCTGGCTGAACCATGAAATATATATGGTAATAGTCATGATCTCCCTAATATATATACGACTTATGTAAGTAATATATATATATATATATATATACCCCACTTAATAAAGCTATGATGCTAATGATGATCACTTGGGATCGTCCACAAGCCGCCTAACGACCCCAATTTCTCTGGTTTTCCCACTCATCAGTCATTTCATTTTCGGCGACCTGCCTTCTGAATCCGATCTTTAGTTTAATCCACAAACACTATCATCAGATCAACCAAAAAAAAATTAAGGTTCAGTTTCATAATATAAAATGAAAAGAGATGGTGGGATATTAATTAATTTGGTTAAAAAATGTCTTTATTACGAGCTTCAGTGCGGCTGGAGTAGTATATTAAAAATAAAAAATAATTTATCATATTGATTATGCAAATTTTCAATTAAAATTTATTCTTTGTGATTTTTAATATTAATGTTACTATTAAACATAAATTTTTCTTCTCAATATTTATTCCCGTGTTCCGACGTCAACAAGTCTATGATGTCCGTATCAAATATTTTACTGCAAAACGGTGTCATCTCGAATGTGTAACACGTGTACGGCTTTATTATTTTGAATGCGCGTTTTATTTTGTTAGGAGGGAGCAAGAAGCAACTGAAAGTCGTTGATGGAATGAACAAAAGTGATGAAAAGTAATGAACACCACATCTTAATGTGTTAATTCATCTGTCATTTCACTTTTTATATGTGTGTGTTACAGTGTATGTATATGTATTACTTATTAAGCTTAACTATTTGTTTAAGTATTCAAGGTGTGAGTGTATTTTTTCTATTTAAAGACATCATTTTGAGTTTTAAACGTTTGGGCAATTATAGCTTTCAACATTCAAAACTGAGAGAACAAAATAAATGGACAGGAGGGAAAAAAGATATCATATTTTAACTTAAAATCTTAAGTCTCAAATTTATAAGTCATCTCATTTTATTAAAAATTACTTATTAAACTGTACTTTATATGTAAAATTTTTAAATCTGATTAATTTACTCAAATGCACTTGGATATCCTAATATATTTAATCATGCACATTTATCAACGCTATTTTCGTTAGACTATATGAAAGAGACCGCACAAGGGTTAGTTCAGGAAATTACGAGTATATTGAAGTCATCACTATACACCACGTTATTCGCAATTAAGCTGTTCACAAAGCGGAAGGCAAATATATCAAATCTGTGTTCATTAGCTAACATCTATAGATGGCCAATGATATCCATAAGAGGAGGGTAAGTACCAACAATAGCGATCGCAACACCCTCACTAATATAGAACAACTGATAGTCGTATCAGAATCAAATCTCCTGTAAGCTCTAGAAATCTTCAAGTAACAAGCCAACGCCACAAGAATTGCATTGGAAAGGCTGAGTAGTGCTCCCGCAAGTGACATGAGATATCCATACACAGGAATATCAACGACGGCCACAATGAGATTACTGATAAGCAAGGAGGTGCTGAGCAACAGATGAGTGACGCTTTTGTTGCGACGATGAGAAGGAACCATTCTTTTTGCA